TTGGTCAATGAATGGGAATTTAACCCCCCCTACCTAATTCAAGAGCTTTGCAGTAGTTTCCAAGTGGATTCGAATTAGAGTTAAGGTAGGGCTTAGGTTAAAGGTTTGGTTTAAGTCAAATTTTGGGGTAAGGGTTAGGGCGTGGGAATATCCACATCTCCTTAAACTTCTACAAGCTCTCTTTTATTACCGACAAGTCTCCCTCTTAAAGTTTCTCGTCAAATTTACTCATTCCTCTACCAGGCAACGTACCAAATCACAGTGAGGATTTAAAAGCGTTTCGTACTTGCTAAAATGAGGAAAATATGTGCCGAATTCATGCCAGTGTGGTTTCCGTCTACCCTCTCATATCATATACTAGCCGCAAGCCTGGTTCACGTCCCTTGACAGTGAAATTGACCTCAGTGGTTCAGTGCTCAATGAAACATCTGGCTGATAGGCTCCACAAGCATACGCAATCTAAGATTTGATTGAGTGAAATCTCGCCGTTCCTGGAGTCTGTAAGTCTAGTAAAACTACATCACGGACCCCCTTGATGCAATGACGCTTATCCTAACATGTGCCTAGCAATAATTAAGCAGTTTAACGTACTTTATTCGCTTATGCAACTCCACAGATGCGCCAGAACTCCTACTCAGCACTGCAGGTCAGGCTTAACATTCGTTGTCTGTTGTGTTTCATGTGGTATGTGCGTTGATGTAGTCGGCTGATGCCAGTCCATCTGTGAGCAAGTAAATGCAGGTTTTAAAAAAAGGCTTGCGGCCACGTGTTAATAGGCTCCCTTGACACGTAAGGTTGGGCCTACACACGTGAGCACTGACTCTGCAGCGCATTTGATGTCCGCGTGACTGTCCCTGACAGTTGCAAGAAAATATCTTTGGGAGTATAGAGAAGACAGGGTTTTCGTGCCACAAAAGGTCTTTTGGCTATCTTAGTTTAGAGATTGGGAGAAAATGTTCTTGAGAGGGAACCCGTGACCCAAGTCGGCTATTCGAAATTTCATAGTTTACTTACCTTTAGTGTGCGGATAGATTGGAGGACTGACCACGAGGTTGGTTCTGGAGCATACAGCAAGATTTTGACTACAAGACTGAGTGTTTAAAACTTGCTCACGTTTTTCGAGAGCTTCTTGTTGCGTACTGCCTCTTGAGTTTTATCGTCAACCGAGATGGAATAGGTAAATATTGGGCTACGCATAAAGACACTGGTCGCTCACAAAGTCTACTTAATTATTCTTTGGTACCCTCAGTGAATGATCAGATTTCACATAGGGAAAGCTCAAGTCTAGTAGGCTGTGAACCGCTGTGTCTCCAGACGCCGCGGTCATACGCAGGAGAAAGCTTACCTTTTGCAGAGCAAGGTTTGAAAGAGCGATTAAGAGTTGTTCGCTGGTGCCCTAGATTTATATGTTGTCTGTTAATTTAGTAGATCAAATTGTTGGTCCTTTTGTATAGAGTGGCTATAAGGAATTATAAATAAGGGACAGGAATGTGAGTAGTAATGTAAGTTCCTATCTCGTTTTCGATTTTTAGCCGGACTCAATGTCAGAAAACTGGACAGGTGGTAAGTATACGATTTGTTACTTTTAACGTTATCCTACACTGAAGACACCAAAAGTGAAAGCCTGCCTATGCTTATTTGAATGTTGCTACAATCAGCGTTCATATTCATTTCATCAGACCTGAGCGGAGATAAGAAAGCAGCAGGGATTTAACTCTTGAGGTACGTAGGTCTCACCCCTTCAAAATGTAAACGGAAGGGAACGGCCTTAAGAAAGTAGTTAATCAACAAACTTCAGAAAAAATTGAGTCCTATACCGCTCGGCGTTTCATCCCTTCGTTTCATATATAGACAGAGTCTAAGATGTGGTCTATGGGATTATGCAGACGGACTGCCTTTGGCGGGTTTTTCCTGTCTGCATAGTTAAACATACTGAAGTTATTTCAGCTTCAAATCCATGTCTTGAATCAAAATTCTATGGACTCAGTAGTGCTGACTCTCGCAACTGCTCTCAAAAATCCGTCACATAAAATTTTTCAAAATATTTTACGAGGTCGGTTGATCGTAGCAATAAAACTTACAACGTATGAGTACCAAAACGTATAGTGGTGATCTCACATCTGAGTTTGTTTTCGATTGTGGTGTTCAAACCAGTAATCAGGTGCCAAAGTGCTCTTTTTAGACCTTACAGCTATAATAGATTTTAAGTAAAAAAAGAATGAGTATAAGCAAATGAATAGACAAATTACCACCCTGGTAAAAAACTTACTGTTCCCCAACCTATCTTCTATGGACCTGCAGTTTTGTAAAAGCTGTCGGAACAGCCTAATCGTCTGCATTAGTGTTTTGGAATTGAATCAGTTTTGTGACTGGCTCTAGAACCCATTTTTTTCTTGCAGACAGTGGTCAATGGTCGGGTATGAACGACGGGCTGGACGTAAGTGAAAGTATACATTTAAACGAATCGGTATTTAATGAAAAAATCTAATAGTCCGTTTTATGTGGAAAAAATACAGACCACGATAAAATTAGGTATACTGACCATATAACGCATTTGTATCATGCTTTTTTGGCAGCATTTAAAGCGGCTTTTTGCTGCTTGGTACAATTTGAGTAGTACAACTAGGTACAATCGAAATAAAATTGAAGTAGCTGCTGTCTGTTTTTTGGGCTACCACGAACGAAAGAAGACTGTTTTTAGCAAAAACTCTCTTTGGTCAACTCTTTGTTGTTAAATTACCGAAGCAAGATGTAGCAAGTCATACTGCGTTTGTAATCAGTGAGTCGAAAACCTACGAGAAGGTTTATATAGCCATACACCAATAAAATATAATAACTGGCTTGACGGCCCCGCAATGGTCAATTTTTAGTTATAGCAGCATAGTAGAAAACCTGATTCCTCCTTTTCTTGTTAAAGAAGACCAAGGGAGCCAAACAGGAATCCCTAATCTCAGGATGGTCAGCCGTGGATCCATCCCAGACACCGGAACGAATTTTCCGAGTCATTCTGGTCGGGGACTCCGCCGTCGGAAAGACAAGCTTTATGCACCGATTCTGCACTGGTGACTTCTACCAGAACACCCGTTCCACAATCGGTAATTCGGGGCACATTTTACTGATCAATAAGACTTAAAAGAAGAGAAGGATAAAGTTCTGTTAGTGTACTTCACTGGCTGAGTGAACTGTACGTGGCAGTGCATAGGAAAAATCATCGTACAAGTTCGCTATTGAGAACTTAGACGGTTCAGAAGAAGAAGCGATCACTAACAAGAGGTTTATTGTCCTGACGTTTCGGATTCCCTCGGGAATCCTTAATCACAGGTAATAGTAGAACAGTCTGAGACATGCGCAGACTCATGTCTAAGACTGTTCTACTATTAACTATGATTGAGAATTTCCGAGGGAATCCGAAACGTCAAGAAAATAAACCTCTTGTGCAGTGATCGC